CGCCGGGCATGTTATCTTCATTGCAGCGATTGCGTGTCATGGATTGCATAACGATGCGGTTGCGAAGGGATATGGAACCGCCTAGGGAGTAAGGCTTGAACATAGTGCGACTTTGTTTTTGAAAGGGGAAATCTGGATCAAGGGATTTACGAAGATGAGTCGAGCTTGCTTGCGGTGCCTTGCAATAGCTTTACATTCGTTTGGTCTTATATGATTTCCGTCCTCGTGTAGAAACTTCCGTTTCATTTAATTTAATTTTTTTGGTTGCACTATCGAAGGGTTTGTCAACAATAGTGAGCGCTCATTGGTCAGTCTAATTTCATTGGCCAGTTTTGCCTTAATAATGGACCACGGTACCGATACCACGAACAATGTGTGGTTTGAACACCGAGATCGTAATCGTGCCCTAGAAGCCAATGCCATGCCGCGCAGGAAAGTTGGGGCCTGTGTTCCTTGCTCTACACGTAAAGTAGCGTGCGATGCTCAACGAATCGGAAACCCATGTTCGCGCTGCAAGCAGAAAGGTTTTATGGGCCTCTGCATGCCAGCTGTGCGCTCAGTAGCCGAGTATGTTTGCGAATTTGATTTGATTTTTTATCTAAGGCCCACTAACTTTCATTTCAGTGCGAAGCGCTTGCATCAGAACAATGCCATTCCGTCCTCGGAGCCAGAGTTGGATGGGCAGCGTCCACAGATCAGCGCTGAAAGAACACCCAATGATGATGTTGCCGCGTTTGAGAAGCCGATAGCTATCATAACGGAACACGACAATAACTACAACCCGTATGTTCTCCTAGGAGACGCATTCGGACAAGCACGACGACCAGGCTTGGTCCTACCAGAGTATCCCAACGACTTTCGAGCCATGGAGAGAGAACTGTCTCTGCTAGACGACATCGACAAAAAGTACCTACACCAAAAGAAGGTTTATGATATGCCCGCGAAACAGACAAGGTAAACTCAGCCATCACATACTGCATTGAAGCTGAACATCGAATGATCTAGTGATGAGTTAATCGCACTCTTTTTCGAGCATGTTTACCAACACTTTCCCGTCCTAAATTGTTCTCACTTCATGTCCAGGTACCTACAAGGTACATGCTCCACTATCTTGCTCTACTCACTCTACGCAGCAGTTGTTCCATACACCTCGGCTAGGTTTGTCCACGATCTAGGCTTCGTTACAACACACGAAGCACAGAAAGAATTTTTCTCTCGTGCCAAACTGCTGTACGATCTTGACTGTGAATCCAGTGAGCTTGCACTATTGCAAGGTTCTGTCTTACTGTGCTCATTCATACGACCCATGGAGCAGTCCAAGGACTTTCGTTTTTGGAAAAGTAATGCTACTCGCCTTGCGACTCAAATGGGCCTATACAAACTGTGAGATTGTGAGACCTAGATGATGCTCACATGTGGCTAACTGTATCATCTGTTTTGTAGAAATATTTGCAATGTCCTTGCACCTCCTGTTTACGAGCTATATCGCCGAATATGGTGGACCGTAGTTGTATGGGCTCTTGCCGCTACTCACCCAGCGCGAATAACTAATAATTCTTGCAGCAATTAGACGTGTCTTCTGTAATCTCCGGTCTCGAGGAGAGTCGCTTCATTCATGACGGCCAACGCCGATACGCCGGTTCTTACAGAAGAGGACTTTGACGAAATTGCGGGCTCAACCACAGTTCACCATAATATCCCAGCAGTCACAGCAGAGCAAAAACAATTTTGCATACTAAAATGCCAGCTGGCACAGCTAGGTAAGTTCGAGATATGGTTTATCAACACTGTTGGAAAGTCACAACAGCTGATGGGATAGATGGATAGGAGCTCGGTTCATCAGCTTGTTTCACTCGGGATTTAGCCCTCCATCGTCTCCCGATCTGCGTGAGCTCGACAATGTTTTCAAGAAATGGCAAAAAGATATACCGCTGCACTTCCAAGCCTCATCGCTGGCAAAAGGGGACAGTAGCAGTATCACGTCCCTCACGATCCAAGTCACAAGCTTGCAGTACCAACTCATCTTCTTCCAAGCACCCGCCTCGCATACGGATCACTATGATGAATCGTTAGTAGCTTGGGCTCGCCGTGAGAAAACAAACACCGCCTTCGACCTCGCAGCCATTTTCCGTCTTGCCACAGTACATGATCTCGCACGTCATGCACCCCAATCACTGTTTGTCCCAGGTCAATTCGCATACCACAATAACTGTACTAACACCTCAGCGTAGTATCGATAGTGCAACTAGTTTCGATACAGGCAAAGACTGCTTGTGATGCGAAATGTGAAAAAGGTGCGCAGTTGGCTGCGAAGACAGACGTGCAGATTTTGCTTGTATATCTGGAAAGATGTGGACCATCAAGGTCTTATGCTCGTTGGTTCTATGAGGGCTTATTTGATTATCTGAAACGTGCTGGAATAGTTGCGTAGAGCATGGCGTGTAGTATTTGGCATCTAGGTCAGTTACACGCCACACTGATATTGGTCACGGCAGCCATAGTGTAGGCAAGATCATTGGCAATGGCAAAAGTATCATAGAGGCTTAAACAAAGCGACACGTCGCTAGCCCTATGCAGGTCTTCACGGCCGATTCGCGTTGGAGTTAGATTGACTTCTCTGACAGAAGTAGCCATCGAGGCTGGTTGATGAATCTCACCCTGAGAGTTCCGGGGGACAAATGTACCACCAAGATCTTTGAGAAGATCATCACAAGCAAGAAGAGGTCAAGCTTGGAGGTCTGGCGCAAGTGCAATGCACATTGGGATAAGTGCACTTATCTCTATTCTCTCTACCTTTTCTACAAGAACTCTGCGCCATTGTTTTGATAATGCTCCTATCTGCGCGAATACCCATCTGTGATCTTTTCCAGCCAGGTAGAGCGCGATGCTACAAGCGAGGATCTAGTTTTCGGGTCGCTCGACTCTTCTTGGGCAACGACTTGCAGAATATCAATCAGGTTATACTATATGAATAACTGTGGGATATGGGCGCAAACAAACAAATCTGATTCACACCTTGAGATAACAAAGATATTTCTCATTGCCTGTAAAAAGGAACGAATAGGGCTACTACCATGGCTGCACATCATCTTTTCGAATCACCTTTCCGACTTCTCCATCTCGGGCACCTTCAACCACACTTCGAACGAAATCTGCACCAATAAGAGGATTTACTGCACCCATCTTTTTGAGAGCCTCAGGATCACCAGTGCCAAGCCCAGTTGCCAGGAAACCTGGAGAAATGCACCAGACTTTCACTTCATCTTCTTTCAGCATACAAGTGAATTCGCGCATCATCATGTTCATCCCAGCCTTTGCGGACCTGTATGCTGGAACGGAGAATTCCTGCTTCGGCCAGCCTTTAGCTGGAGATCGGTTGACTGCTAAAGCAGTATTGCTACTTTCAGCCATGGTCGAGGTCCCCGAGGTGATGAAAATGAGGCGCGGCTCTTGGGATTTCAAGAGCAATGGTATGAATGTGTGGGTCATAATGTACGTTCCGGTCACATTAACGTCCCATGACTTGTTCCACATCTCTCTTGTGGTCATCTTCCCCTTCAGACTATCTCCGTCAAATTTGGCGCCTACGTCAAATCAATTGGACATCCATCTCATAGCGTGGACACATTTACCTGCGTTGCTGAGCAACACATCCAGGTAACCATATTTGGCAGAGACGTGTTGGAACGCTTTAGTGATTGAGCCGTCGTCTTCAATGTCCACTTGTATTGGTTCGATGACATTAGAGTTCGAAGGGAACTCCTCCTTCACCTCTCGGGCGATCGCTTTTGCCTTGTCCAAATTTCGCCCACCAAGCAGGATGATGTATGGTTTGGACAATCGGGAGAGTGATTTGATGGTTTCTAGGCCCAAACCGGCAGTCGCACCGGTAATGAGTAGGATGGTATTGGAAGACATGGTGTGTTAATATTATGAATTTACACTGCAGTATATCTCGGGCTATACAGCTTATCTATATTATATGCACAATCAATCATTGCTCAATGGTTTTTGAGGCTCCTCTCGCATGGCAACCTAAATTGGTATAGTTAACCTACTCCAACCCTTTCTCCGAGTGCATCATCCATTGCATTTTAGTACCTTGGCAGGAGCTTGAGCTATATCTAACAGCGTTACAGAGTGGAGTAAAATTTGAGAATCTAGGGAAGTCACCACTCAGAGCCGCAGATTTTCAAACCCATGCGAATGTGGCGCGCCATGAATGAATTCAGACAAAGAGATCGCGCTAAGGACGGGAAATTCCTTCGAAGGTGCACTACGCGTGGTTGACGATAGCGTCAGCTAGTCATGCAGATGACGTATGACAAGAAGACGAAGTCTGAATCTTTTGTCAGTGATGCTTTCCAAGCCGTGAAGCTGTGGAGTGGCTTTACGCTGCAATTCGAGAAAACCGAAAAGCCAGGTCCAAGTTTGTCGATGTCAACGGAGAGCAACTAAATAATATGCATAGCAGAGAGGCACTAGACATTCTACTTTCAATTTTCCAGGCGGCCATCAATATTTCACTACAGGAATCGATCGACGACGTGATTATCATGCTGAAAGAACACAATACAGGACGCGAGGTAGAAAGGGAGACACCAGAAGCGGTGTTCGAGGTCCAAATAGGCAAAGATGGTGATACTGCTATTATTCCAGTGCCAGACAGATTTATCAAATCAAGTGAACAGGTCAACGCCCGAGAAACCGAGAGTTTAAAACCCTCTTGCTGATAGGAGAAGCGAGGTTTATGGGAATGAAGGAATTTGGGAGCGAATATTCTATGTCCGAGTAACCATGCGCCATACCCGAATCACCTTGACAGAGCAGTGGCCTATCAAAAGAGAGATGCGAGGTGTGGAGGAGGTGAACGAAATAGTTGATTGGCTTGAAGGGTAAGTAGGCCTGTTGCGAAGTCTAAGCAGTAAATCAATTTTTTTACTCATGTGGTCGCGCTATTGCATAATATCATAAAAACTTGAATCGGATGCCCGAATTCAGGCAACTTGCCAGAGTGGTTAATGGGTCAGCCTCGAATATTTTTCTAGTTAGCTGATGTCTTAGGACGCACAGGTTCGAATCCTGTAGTTGTCGCACGATTTTTCTTTTTTGTTCTTTTTGTTTTTGGTAATTGCTAAAGCGACCCCACGTTATTTACTGAAGTGACCCTATACTAAATTTAGGCTTAGAGAGAGTTTAATAATAGATATAATATAGTAAATTTTACTCTCTATTATTAGTAAGTATATCTAACTTGGATACTTATATATATTTCTTAGCTAATATCTAAAGAAAATAGACTTGATATATTTATTCTATTTACTAAAGTTATTTGAGTCAATATATTATATATAATAAGAATTTAGAGAGACTATTATACCTACTCCACGTTCTTTATAGCTAAAATATTATCCTAAGTAACTAGCTGAATATCAACATCCGAAATTATCTTTAGCTTAAAGGCTAAGATTTCGAGGACGGCACTTCTTGGTAGAACTATTCCTTCTAACTAGGATCGGTGATTTTCTCATTAATCTATTCGCCTTAATAGCTTAAGGTAAGGTGATCTACGTAGATATAGCTAATTCGGATAACTTTCCTCTATAGTGATGGTTTCTTTTATATGATGATATAGCAGTAAACGTATCCGTAGGCAGATTTGTGATCTAAAGGTATACATACTCTAGTATTCCCTAACCTGAATTATCACAGTTAATCTACTAGCTTACTATGGATTCAAAAAGTCTTCCTTCTCGAATAGAACCGTTCTTCCCCACCATCTTTTACAAAACCCAATTCTGTGAAATGTAGGCTGGACTCAATCCGAAAAAGCTAGAGTAACCAATCCTAAAGTCTTTTTATGATCGGGACACCTTTAATAACACAACCTGGTACAACACGTCCAAGACCCTAATGCGTCTATCTCTCTGGAAGTTGACTGAAGTGGTTGATGCGGATGACGTTATTGTCAATATCGTCGATCCAGGCTATGTTAAAGGAACTGAGAGTGTTCGGAGAATGCCTAATTTCATTGCTTTTATGGCTCGTGCATTTGCCGCTCTGACTGGCAGAACGGTAGAAGTCGGAGCGTCCACTTACATTGACGCTGTTGCTGTGAAGGGTAAAGAAAGCCACGGGCGCTGCTTGACGAGCTGGAGGAACCATCCGTAAGTCATTCACATTTTACATGAATAACACAAAGTTGCTGGCTTCTGCATGTGCTGTAGATTCGCCCTACTGTTGTATACGCCTGCAGGAAGCATCTGATTGAGATGTTGTAGGAAGAGACTATGACGGAGTTAGAATTTGCACGACCTCAAGCAATTCTCTCTCAAAAATACTGATATCTTCTGGGTCTACACTTTCCGTATACCACACGTCTGTTGAATCTTGTAGTACGCGCTCAAATTCGGCTGATGTCCTATTCTGAACTATATGATACAACTTGAGCTATTTCGCTCGCTTGTACAGCTTCCATAATGGATGATTCAGAAAATCACATGTGGAGTGCGAAATCTACATCGTCAGCTTCGTGCAGCTCAAAAATCCTGCCCTTTAACTTCCATTGGTCATCCATACCTGGGTTGATGCACCGCTCTCTCGGACTTTTCTACTTCTACCGTCTCCAAATGACCCTTGACTTCAGGACAGCATGTACGGTTCGCATGCTAAGCTATATCATATCTGACATTCCCCGGAGCAATAGACAAGGAAGAACAATGAACAATCTTTATGAAAAGCTTATCTCTCATCTGCTGACTATGTCCTGGGATCTGGGTTAAGCTCGTAGAGCATGTTTTCTTGAGGGCCAAGGCATAGAAATTAATGATCACAATCGGAGAAATTACCTCTATGCAGACGTTACGGTCGAAGTGGTCATGGCATTGACGGTTCAAGCACTTAAAAACCAAAATATATCCGGTTGAGAGGAGAGTTACAATCACAGGATTTGGCAACACGCGGCAAATGTTGATAGCGAATGGTGTTATGGCCTATGAGAGATACTACCAAGCAAGAATATTAGACCGTACTGTGTGAAGATTACTGGAACCCTATTGAGGTCCCAACCTAACGTGCGCATATTTTCTACCGAGCAGGGAATGATTGACTACTCATCGCCCAACCATGAACATCAAACCATCAACGACGAGGTCTCGGCAAGCCCTCCCACACTTCGAAGCTACAAGTATTGACGCTATTACTATTCATGACGTTTCTCACCTGCTGGAGCAACTCAGCCTTTGGTTTTCCCTTGACCTCTTTTTGACCGACAGCAGCCTTCTCTTCCGCCCTCCTTGACACCTCCGCCTTGCGTTCCTGCTCACGCTGCTTGGAGAGGTAACGCTTTTCCGCGACCATGTACCAGTGATTTACTTTCTTGGTTAAAGAAGCATCACCGTATCCTGGGAGAGTACCAAAGAAATCTATATAGTCATCCAACACGTTCTTCTCGGCAGAAACCAACTCGACACCTTTGCTCGTAGGATCAAGCTCCAAACCTAATTGCACAACCAGTTTCTTGGTAGACATGTCCATGACCTCCTTATCCTTACCCATGAACTCCCAGAGTCGGCCCATCTGTTCCTTGGTGATGGTCTGCATTCCGTTGATACAGGCGATGATGGCGATCCTTAGTCCCTGCTGATAATTGAGGCGCGAATTGAGGTTGAACAGTCGTGGTGTGCGCAAGAGCTCGAAATAATAATCGCAGTTCTGATTTGCATCGACCGTCACCGTGCTAACTCCCATGTACTTGGGATTAGTGTCTAGAATGTATTTAAGTACCTCAATGGCGTTGCACTTAGTGGTGGCCGAGGACGATAGATCAAGAACGGTTGTGCCAGGGAGATGAACAACACGGGAGGCGGCATAACGAGAGGCGGTGACTAGGTTCTGGAGTGGGAAGTCAGGCCAGAGCAGTTCATTTTTACCACCAGTTTCGAGGTAAATTTGAACGACATTGGCGCGAGGACGTCCTCCGTGAGAATGGGCATGAGTGAGATTGGCCAGTGCAGTGGGAGTGTGGACAGCGCTGACAGGTGTGTTAACGGTAGCAGTTGGGAGGGCGGCGGTGGCATTGACGGGAATGGCGGTGGCATGCATTGGAGCTGTGGAAGCTTGTTTTTGACCGGGTGCATTGGGGACTTGTTTGACAGCGGCAGAACCTAGTCGAGAGTTGATGAGAGCTGTAGGAGGCCGGAGGATAGCGTTAGTCCCGAGGACATCCTTGCTGGAGTTAGAGTTTGGAGCAATAGAGTCAAGAAAGTTGTTCTTGAGGCGACTTACATTGGGCTTTGCATGCGCAACAATAGGTCCAGGCAGCAATGGGAATGTGGACTCGTCAAGAGTTAGATTCGCCATCTCTGTTGGTGATTCGAAATGTGATTGGTGGTTGTGGTTAAAGAGTAGAAGTTGTGAGGGTGAGCTGTAGATTTTATACTCGAGTAAGAAATTGTGATTTTCGTACTATACTGGAAAGGGAAGAAAGTGTTAATGAAATTTGCCGAGTGTGGCTGAGCAAACGAAAAGATATGTGAATGAAAAGTGTTGTTCGCGTGGAGGGAGGTAGTCAATCGGCCTGATGAGACAAGTGCTCTATGAACAAAAAGCTATTTTATAGATGGCTACCTTACAACATGCCTAGTACTAATACTAAAAGCAGTATCTGACAAACTGTCTAATGAGCACATGTCTTTCATAACATGCACATAACAAACGAAAGAGAGGACAAAGTACTGGGGGAATTGGAAGCACGTGTCCCAGCTATGGAATTCTGGCAGGCGAGGAGAGACTAACCCCCTAACGAACTATCTATCCTTGTCGTGCAAAACTAATGGACGACGGTCTACGATTAAAGGTCCTACCTAGTCTAGCTAGCATCACTTCTTCAATGACGCCACTGATAAGCGATTAAGTATTGAGGAAAGGATGCGATAGAGTCACTCCGTGAACAAACATCGAGCAATACGCGACCGATCGTGGAAAGGATCACCAACAGAGATCTATAAGGGACAGCATCTAATCAACGGGCAGTGGAAGTTTTAGCTTCAGTCATGAATTATGTTCGTCACAATAGGTATTGTAGGTATAAATGAGCGAGGGCAGTATAAAGCAAGTGGATTGGACTGCAAGTTTATTTAGCTAGTGAACAAGTAGTCCAATCTTTAGCAATCGGTTCCTCTGGAGATAAGATCATAGAAGTTCAATCGCAATGCCCAACAGAAGCCACCGCTGGAGCCGAGATGAGTCGAACTGCTGGAGTGTTTCGAGAGATGAGCTATAGCATCAAAGACAGCACCATAAACACTAATCCGAAGAAGCCGAGCATGCTGCCCCCGGAACTAACCACGTCGTGGCAAGTCATCAAATTCCTCTTTGGTCACAAGGTTAATCCCACGAGCAGACATGTTCTCCTTCTTACGCTTGTCTGCTTCGGTCTTCTGTTGTCGATGAATAGCATTGGCTGCCTTCTCTGCCTTGCGTTCCTTGATTTTGTTTGCAAGCTGTTTGGCATCGTAGGCCTTCTTCGCCACTATATACCAATCATTCACAGTGTCGACTAGATATGTGTTATTGAACTCTTTGGCAGCATAGAATGACTCCATGTATATATCCCACACAGTCTTCTCGGGTGTTGCAAGTGCATTTCCCCTACTACCAGGGTCCTCCTCAATTCCCAACTGCCATACCATCTTTTTCACCGCCTTATCCATCATACCTTCATCCTGATGTCCACAACACTCCCAGATCTGACAGATCTGTTCCTTCGTAATTGTGGCGTTCTTATCAATCTTGACTTTGATGTGAGTTTTCAAAGCAGGTTGGTTGTTGAAGCGGTATTTGAGGCCGAGGAAGAGCAAAGTTCGGTAGATTTGTAGGTAGTAGTCCAGGGTTTGGTTGGCATCAATTTTCATATAGTGTTCCTCTTTGGGGCGAAGCTGGCAACCCTTAATGAAGTTAAGAACCTCAATCAAAGAACACTTGGTGGCACGGGTAACGGGAATGTCGAGGACTGAGACACCAGGCAAGTGTTTGATGTTGGTGGCGACGTAGTGTGAGGCGGCAACGAGGTAGTGGAGCGGAAAATCAGTCCA